TCGCATTCAATAAATAGTTTGATATTGATTTGATTTTATATAGTATCTCGATCTTCATTATCTAGAAGTCGCTTTGCTTCGTTCCGCAGGTCCCCTTAGACGGAAATCAAGCAATTAATTATAACAATAAGCCCTACGAATCTTAATGGAAGAAGAATGCGTGCCGCATCCCACAAAGGGACTGATCACGGTAACGATTTTATCCTTTATCCTTTCACCATCGGATCACCCGGCGGCAGCCGGGGATAAAAGGAAGGAGATATAAGTGAAAGGATAAAGGATAAAATCGTTACCGTGATCACTCCTGCTGCTCTCCTTTGCCCTGTGCTCCGCCTTCTGTTTCAAGGACTGCAATTGTGACATCAGAATGGGTAAAGTTGAATTAGTCCGGATGAGTCCTTAACACCCGGGAGAGGCATAACTGCAGGATCTTGGGTGGCACTGAGAAGGAGAACTTCACATTGCCTTGTACATGTCAAAGTACGTGTCACACGAAGAGCTCGAATGTCACCACCGATGGAACGTCCCCACTCCCAGTTGTTGGGTTCCTTCCTTATTTTGCTTCAATTGCGAACTTCACCACCTAACACATCGTTGCACATCATATAACAGGCAGATTTCCGAAAAATTTTTGATTGATATGAATTTCTCGATTTTCCCGTTTCAGCCGCACTATATACCCCCCCCCCCTCCCCCTCTCCGCTCGACGCCATTTCACGCATTTAACAACGCTCTATCTACATCGAACATATCGAAGGAAAGTCTTCACACACTGAGCCTCTAATACTCGGCATTAAAGCGGTAAGGAGTGATAAAAATGTAGCGCAGATGGTATCTTATCCATTCTTATCGAATGATATGATTACCTGCCACCCGTCATCAATGTCCTTATCACTAAATCCTTATTTGGTAATGTAAAAGCTGCACCGCCTTGAACAGCGACGACGACTGAACGTCTCTTATCAGCCCCTATCAGTTGTTATCGCTTCCAGCCACCCACGGTTGTTGTCCCCACCTCACCCTAGATATCTTTGCTGAAATGAAGCCTCGTTGAGGTTGTCACCTGCGTTGAAATGAACGCCTCGTTGAGGCTGTCACCTGCGTCATGAATATGGTGACCTTCCCCTTCTGAAGCCCCTTATCGAATCTTATCAGCAGCTCGCAGTTCTTGTCACCCAAAAATAATGTTCTTAGCCCATACTCTCTCTCTACATCATATCTTGGAAAGAGCTATCTGATGCTGTCACCAGCGTCATGAATATGGTGATTTTCTCCTTCTGACGCCTCTTATCGGATCTTATCAACTGATATCACTTCCTGTCACCCACCAATAGTGTTCCCGTCACACCCCTACATTATATCTTGGAACCAAAATCTCACTGTTACTGGGAAGGGCGCTATGAATTTCGTGACACACACGCACGGACACACACACACACACAGACATACTTAGCGGATTATATATAGTAGGATTTTTAGGACAGTAGGAGACGGAGGTGGCAAAAAGAAGCAAGTGGCATCCCTCGGTGCGTAGCATCAGAACATCAATCAGGATCGGCTCCCGCCACAGCCAACCTAGCCTTCACAACCGCTCAAATTGTCAGGTTGCTACGCTAAAATTTGCTCATCAGGAGGACTAAAACAGTGACTTCTGCACTGTGCTCGTGCACCGTTTGGTGTCCTACAAGAAAGGCACGCCCTGCGTTGGGGGGGATTTTTCGCTAAATACTACCCCACTCCCTTCACGATATCTTCCTCAAGGCAGCGTTCAGACTTCGCGACGGCGACGCTTCGGTAGCGCGTTCGGCGCAATCGATGCCTTAGAAAGCATGCGTATCGATCGTGTCGAACGCACGACCGAAGAGCTGCCGTCGCGAAGTCTGAACGCTGCCTATGGCACGATCCCCATCCCCATCATAGCTACCATCTTCCTAATTTCTGCCAGCTTGAGTTTTTCTCCGAAAAACGCCGTCAAACGGGGTCGGAGAGTGAGCAGGAAGAGTAGGATGATGTAATGACAGCAAATCAAAAACAGTCGCTATATGGGATAGTTTTGCTGCGCCGCCAACTAGCGGAAGGGGGGGGGTATAGTAACGCATATGGGATGGGAAAAGCCGGAAGAGTTAGCAAATAGAAAAAACGTCGTGGTGCCCGGAAAATTCCTATCAAGGCCAGATACGACTCCAATTAACCAAATACGAACTCCTTTCCCCCGGCAACCATGGGGGTTCCCTGATGAGTTCCCCCCGCCCCCAATAGTTTTTAACACTGCTGCCAAGTCAATAGGCTCACAAAAACCTATCACTGGGAGGGGTTGCAGAAGCTCATGGCCCACAACTTTGTTCCTGGACCATTTTGCCGCTACTTTGGTGTAAAACATTCACTTCAAAAGTTTGCCTGCAAGGCGAAATTTATAGTGGAATGTGTGTTTGACTTTCGAACTTCAGTGGGATGCCTACTACAGCACCAGCCACCACCACAAGGCCAAGGACCACCACTACGCCAAGGACCACCACTACGCCAAGGACCACCACAACCACTACACCAACAACCACCACGACACCAACGACGACAACCACCACGACACCAACGACGACAACCACCACGACACCAACGACCACCACCACGACACCAACGACGACAACCACCACCACTCCAACCACCACCACCACTACACCGACGACCACCACAACGACAACACCGACTACTACAACTACGACTACAACCACTACTACAACAACTACCACAACCACAACTACCACTGCCCCACCAAGTGAGCGCCACCATTCCATTTCCACGCTGACATTTTATTGCTTACGTTGCTTTTATTTCAGCATGCACATCTTGCTCAACCCTGAATCCACTGATGCAGTCAGCAGTTGGCGACGGCATCAATCGCGATGGCAGAGCTGAAATAACAACTACAATCGTGAACGGTTGTGAAGTTGCTCAGGTGACGTGCTATGCCGACGCCAATCGGGACACTCTGATACAGGTTTTCACGGTTCGTTGATAGCTACAGTACTTTTTTTTGTTTTGAGAGATTTTTTGGGCAAGCTGTTTGTAAGGCTCATTCTGGGTCTGAAGGGTTATTATTTCGCTGGGACCGTGCAGGAAATCAGGCGTAGCTAAGGCGCCACGGAGAGCAGCCAAGGCGCCGTGACGGGCGCCCATTGATGGAATAACACTCATCCAATCACAGTGCTTGTCGGAGCGTCAGGTGGTGGCGTCCCACGCACATTTTGGCACGGCTATTTCCATTAATGACAGCGCATGCCAGTGACAACGACTGGATAGTTGGAGTTGGCGCCACGCCAAGACATAAGTACGCAGGAACGCCTCCACATGATGCGCCGATAGTGACTATACCTTAGGAACCTTAGGAAACGTTCAGACTTCTCAACCGCAGCTATTCATTCGCACGGCTACTTCAATCGCTGCGATCGAGAAGTCTGAACGCTGCTCTAGCCGTGTTATTTTCATGAGAACAAGCTAATATTTTCAGGGAGGTGTTCCTTACATCATGAATGGCGGCTGTGGATCAGCAGCGCTTCCACCGAATCTGATTACTTGTAACGCTAATGGAAACTGGGTGTTCGCGGTCACTGGAGAGCTCAATCCATCCATACAATGCAGTGTGACAACCGCTGGTCCTGACTGCTGATTCTATCTGATAAAATGCTACATTACTGGGCGATGTTCGGTTTGGGAGGGGTATTTTGCACTCGCGCAAGTTCATTTTGCTAGTTCACGTTAATTAACACGTACATATTGATGATTGCGATTTGGTATAAGTCAGTCACTTTCATTACAGGAGCCAATAGGTTTCCAGAAGGTAGCCTAAGTAGCGTCACTAAGTACCATTTGCTGCCCCCACCAAGCCGAAGCCGAACAGCGCTTTCAATTGTTATTCATGTCTACTAAAGTAAATGGTCCTGTTCGCATAGAATAAATTGGTTTATGGGTATTCAAGTTAGAAATGTCAGTGGAACAGAAGCAGCCCAACCCACAAACAACTCATTTATTTCCACAACCAGTTCTTATCTGCCAGCAGCCCAAGCGCCAACTTTCCCACTTTCATATGTGTACACCTCAAGCGAAGTCTTAATGTTTTCGTAAGTTTAGCAGTGGCCGTCTATTGCTCCCTTCCTTTGCGCATTCCCAGGCGTGGTTGTCCCGGTGTCCTCCTCTTAGACAGGGTACGTCGTACGTTGGGGATCCCAGCATGGGGTTGTATCTGGTCGGTGGAGGGATGGGGAGGTCGTCTTCGCTTTTCAGGGAATGTCTTAGTTGTTGGTTTGTTGTTATTTTTTTCGGTTTTTCTGACGCTCAAGGAAATGATGGAAGGTTTGAGGATGGGACAGGGAGAGTCGTACCAGCGGAGGAAATCCTAAAGGCACGTTCCGCGACAAACTAAATTTGGGTTCTCATAACCGTGCACGACGGTCAAGCAGGCAACGTCAGAGGCTATACCGCTTTTAAAAGTTGAAAAACAGCAAGCAAAACGCAGCGCGCTCAGGTTTTAGGCCCATTGGCGCCCGATAGGCCCATGCCGGCCTCCAGTGACCGTGTCGTTGTGAGACTGCCATTGCGCTCTCTCGCCCGTCGTTTTCTGGCCTCTCTCGTCTCTTATCAGTGTATCGCCGCCTTTCGCAATTCACAATTGATCTTGACGCACGCTCCGGTGAGCATGATCATGCAATAAAGAGGGTCTTATTTCGAGCACTTTTTCGTGCTTTCTTCTCCTTCAATAAGTCAGGGGACACACGGCAGTTCTATATTCGAACCGTATTACCTGTGAGCTGTGGTCGCGGGAATTGCCTTCAAGCAGAAGGTCGTATTTTGCAAAATTTTCCCCAAAGGCAGGAACATGCCTTGTTTCCCCACCGCTTCCGCACTCTGCGCGTTCCTCCAGTTCACTATCCCAATCTGCCAAATAAAATATCTGGATAAATATCTTGTCCCTCCCTTTCCCCCCCCCCCCCTCGATGGGATCTGGTAAGATGGGTATTGTTAGCGCTAAAAAGTAAAAGGAAGGCGTACTAGAAATCAGCGAGTAATGGAGAAACGCAGAAAACGGGAAGCACTGATGTGGTCCGAATACCGAAGATTCTACCCTCGACTCACCTGGTGGTGAGAGCTTAATATTTCCCTTACTCCAAAAAGTGAAAGTGCTCTGGATTTTGAAGCAAGTTGAGGTACAGTGACTCACTGAATGAAGGTAATCACAATTCCATACAAAAAACCCTTCAAGTGTTCACCTAACCAGAGTTATCGTTGTTCCCGCGCCGTCGCAGGATCCGCTGTTCTTGTTAGACGTCGCCACCTGTTCCGGTCCACTGCATCTTCTGCCGTGGCATTCACTTCAGTGAGGTCCATTTGATGACGTCCCTCCACCTTCGGGCTCCTCGTGGTCGCTTGCCCTGTACATCAAATTCCAATGCCTTCCTTACTGGGTGGTCCTCAGGCCTCCTCAGAACATGCCCATACCATCGCAGTCGCTGCTCTCGTGCCTTCAGCTGGATCGGACCGCCCTGACGTCTTCATTTCTGACTGTCTGTCGAGTCGTGCCAGACCCATCTCAGCATCCTCATTTTAGCTGGTGGAGCTGCTTCTTGCATATGGAACAGCACTCGCTGCTGCACTCCAGGGCTGTCAGCGCCCTCTTTCCAATATATGGGAAGATTATCAGTGGCTAAAATTCCGAAAAAATTGAAACTTTCAAACCATAACCTCTTCACTGAAAGGATTTTTCAACCATGAGCATCCAGCACATCTTTTTCTTCCGCACTGCATTAGCATTACTCATTTAAAATCCTGTCCTTTCTCTCCGCTTTTCTGCGAACAGCCCTCATGCTTCCATTTCTCACTGACGTCATTCAGCGCTCTCATGCTGGTGCATTCACCTATTCACAAATCTCTTTTTAAGCTCTTATCTATTTCTCTTTCCGAAAGTCCGTGTACTCTTTAACGCCGCATTAAATCTCTACCTACGAGTGTTTGACACGGGTTCTAACAAGCACTCCATCAAATGTCCCCATTAAGGATGAGTCCACCGTAGAACATTCAACGAAACCAAGATCCGCTGAACAAATTTAATTCCCCTTTCGGCACGTGGCCAATACGATTTCAACTTCGCTGAGCGGATTTACAGGTAACGAAAAGTCGAGCCGATATAATTCCATTGTCAAAGGCAGTGGTGGCTAAATATAACTGGGTTTACGGTGCGAAACAAAAGTGTGTTTTGGCCCCTACGCGATTTCTGGTCACCGATCTTTGTGAACAAGTATGAGACTTGAATAACTGCATAATCGTAATATTATAATCATCTAGTCAAATTATTATTAGTTCGACTAATTGAAGAGTGGCAATATACAAAGCATAGGCAGAGCCCATCGTTTTTACCGTTCGGGAAGAAGGCTTAGTGCTGTGTGAAATTTCGGGCAAATAGAACCCTTCCCTCCCCTATGCGACTCTGGCCAAGGTGAACGCTTAGAAAGGGCAAATCAGCTATCAAAAGTTTCCGAGGATAACAACCCTCAGCGGCAAGATTACGATCTCGTCTGTTTTGTTTTCTCAACAGGTGCCGGGTCGGAATGACAGTGGCTTCTAGATGCATGATGCAGATGCAGATGCAAAAACAGCCCAGATTTCAACCAGCTTTCTTCCAAGGGCAGATTCGGCTCTAAATCCGGTTCTCGGGGTGGTCCGACCTTAGCCCGAAACCGCCCGTCGCCCGCGCCACAGGCGTCCGCGCCAAGACACCCTAGATCACCAAACACGCTGAAAACTTGTGTACAGAAGTTATTTGAAGAGGGTTATTTTTTGAGTTGTCCTGCAACGTCCCAAACAATTTGTTTCTGTTCACTCATCCTAAAACCTGTTTGCAGATCCTCAAGCCGACCTTCAAGTCTCAACATTGACCCAATCCGAAGCCTTATCGAATTTCAAATAAATAAATAACAAGTTTTTACCCAAAGTATATTTAAATATGTTGGGCCACCCGGCTATTGGCTCATCAACATTTAGTGCCCCTTGTATATTATGGCATTCAGGCCATCAAAAATCAGGGCACTACATGAATCCCCCCCCCCTCCTACTGGGGATTCTCAGCGAGAAGGGTCGGATAGGGTCACTGGAGTAGCACTCGTGCATCTGCCTCTGATAAAAATGTGTTCCAGTTGCTGACTTTTCTGGGCTTCTCCAATTTCACGTGCGCTTCACTTTCCCCTTCCCCCCTCCCCTTCACTATCGGCAGCTTTTGGCAGAAACCAACATTTGTCTCCCTTCTGCGTGTTCTCGAAATAATTCCGTTCGTTTCTAGCACTGAAAACATTTTTCCGGGGTAACTCGAAAATTAGTTTTATTCTGTATTCCCTTTTTGGAATTTTTCATATTCAGCAAGCTCAAACCCTTTCGCCCCATCCGGAATTCGATTAGGATCACAGTTCGTTCAGTCGCGTGCTCTCGAATATCGTCCACATCAGAGTTCAACAAGGAGCGTCCTGGAAATGTCCCGTGCCGACCGTGTTTTCTGAACGTAAATGTCTGTCTCTCTTTCGTCAAGACCCCGCGCAACTTTCGCTGAGCTTCTCAGACATGGTCAGTGCAGTCTTTTTCGCTGCAAATGCTGATGGCGTTTTAAAGGGTGGGGTGGGGGAGGGAGGAGAGCCTGGCTAGTAGCTCGGCGCCGGATAATTAAATTGATTAATTTAATAATTTTGAGGGGCCCCAATTCCACGTCCACCCCTCTCTATAGCACTCTCGGCAGCTCAAGCACCATGAGTCTCCGGCCCATCGTGTTATCGCGGCCGGTGGCATTCCGAGAACTACACAGCGGACAAAAAAAATCGAGCGATTTCTTAGCGCCAGTTGGAGATCCTACCAAGCCTATGATGCCATTGCCAAAACCCAGGGAATTTTGCAGCGCGTTCGACCAAATGTTGCACGTTCTCAGTAGCTCTTAATACGATGCTCAGACCAAGAACCGGTTTACTGGCATTTTACATTCGATCATAAGGTTTGACTCAGCGAGAGTGCAGTGCTTTCTGGATTTACTTTCATTCTTTTTTGTTCAGGGCACTGATATAAGGGCAAACGGCCCACACCCACCACCTTGGTCCTACAGTTCACAATGGGGGCCGTGTGCGGCGACAGGGGGGGGGGCATTTTGCACTTAACATCGACGTGTCGACGCATCTAGACAGCCTCTTCTCGAGTTGACAGGTTTTAGCATGATGACTTGACGAGCTTCAGCTCCAGCTTCACAAGTGTTCACAGGTTTCACCAGAGTGAGACCTGTCAACCGGAACTAGTGAAACAATGAAAAAGCAAAATGCCTCTTGCCCCCCCCCCCGGGGCCGAACTGCGCCCTCACAATGTTCCCACCTATCCGGTAATTTTGGAACATCTTAATCTCCTTTCCCATCTCGGCCAATAATACTTCCTTGGTTACCACTGCCATTATCCCTTGTGTAGGTCCTATTTTTATCCTAATAATAATTAAATATGATCACTAACCAAAGAATAGTTAAGATCAAGCGTCGAATCAAGGTAGAAGTGTTGAAACTTTGCTTGTGTTTCTATTTACGTTCACGCGTTGTTATTCTACTGTTTATATCATCTAACTTTATGCAGCTTCTTGAACAACTAAACAAAATTTGG